ACCTTCCATTGGTTCAGCCTTGTCCTTACTTGGCGGCTCTGTTCTCTCCCCACCCCTACTGCTGGTGGAATCTTTGTAAAGGTCCTGAGTTGATGCGGCTCAGCCCTAAATATTCGGACACACATCTCTTAAGGACGTGCCCTCACTGGGCCACACAGAGTTACCGTCTCGAGAACTTAACCTCTAGGCGGGATTGTCGTCAGCTCTGCACCCGGGTTCGGAGCTCCGCACGTGCTGCGCACTTGGTGATTTTGTATCTCTCCGCCCCAGATCACACACAGACACACCTTGCTTTATCGCGCCTCCACTGCGCTTCACCCATGCTGTGTTTTGTACAAATCCACACTTTGTGGCAACCCTGTGCCAGCAAGTCTCTTGGTCCATTTTCCCAACAGCACATGCTCGCTTCGTGTCTCTGTGCCCCATTTTGGTAACGTGCACCCTTCATAGAGCACAGCGCAGTGCCAACCTCATTGGACAGGCACTGGGAAGCCAGCAAGCCCCTGTGCCTCGCCGAGTGCCGTCCTCCCCGCACTGAGGTGGTCTGGAGCCCGGCCCGCGATATTGCCGAGGTCTGCCTGTCGTGTTTCACTGTCGTCGGCCTTCTTTCGTCCCCGTCTGTTTGTTGTTGTTGCTGCCATTATTTTGTCGCTCAAGGCACAGCCATTTGTGAAGGTGGCCACATTGCTTGAACGCCCTGGAAGGGACGTGCTCAGGAGAATGGCCCTGGGCAGTTCTCCAGGGGACACGGCAGTTGTGCTGAGGGTCACTTCTAGAAGCTGCCTCACAGCGATGTTTAAGGAGTAGCATGGGGTCCAGTTGACCCAGAAGAGTTCATCAGACCCAAGTAGCCACTGTTGACGTGCTGCTGGCCACGGTGGCTGTCAGTCGCCGGGGTCGGCTCTGACTCAGGCGGCCCTGTTGACGTGCTGGTGGCCGCGGTGGCTGTCACTCACCCAGGGTCGGCTCTGACTCAGGCAGACATGTTGACGTGCTGGTGGCCGCGGTGGCTGTCACTCACCTGGGGTCGGCTCTGACACAGGCAGACATGTTGACGTGCTGGTGGCCGCGGTGGCTGTCAGTCGCCCGGGGTTGGCTCTGACTCAGGCGGCCCTGTTGACGGTGCTGCTGGCCGTGGTTGTCAGCGGAGGAGAGCTGCCCCTGAGGGTTTTTGAAGCTGTAACCTTTCAGAAGCAAATTACCAGGCCTTTCTTCCTGTGTGCCTCTGGGTGGGTTTGACCCGCCAACCTTCCGGCCACTCGAGGAGAGTTGAGCTGTTTGCACCACCCAGGAAGCATCGAATTGCCCAGCCCCAGCCACTGCCCTTGTGCCTGGCCTCTTGCCCTGAAGCCCGAAGCCTGGAAGAGCTGTATGTGCAGGGTGTGGGGGTGGATACACTCCCTTGAGGGGCTCCCCAAGTTCTCTGTTACACCTCAGAAGCAGAAGCAGCTGTGACCCTCATGAAAGTTGTCTTCTCAGGAAAGCCAGCCAACCCCCCCAGGCGACCCCTACAAACAGCTTTCTGATCAGGTCCCTGATGCCCGCCTCCTCCACCACAGACTCAGCAGCGGTGGGAAGAGCTCAGGGGCAGCTTGTTCAACAACCCAGGGAGAGGGAAAAAACCAGACCGCTAGCCACCCAAGAGGTGAAGACTTACCTTGCTTAAAAATCGGGGGTTTTCCTAAAGAGGCTTCCTGCCCCCAAGCAGTTTCAGAGACTTCTGCTTCCCAACAGGTCATGTTCTTGACACTCTGCAGAGCTATGGGGGGGGGGGACATCAACCGCAGTGCCGCACACAGCTTGTTGACCTATGGAAGATTCTCGAAGGTTTGGGGCCCTCGGTGCAATGTCCAGGTCTACCCACCAGGTGTCAGCACGTCCCTCCTAACCTGGCCGGGCTGGTGTCTGCTTCTCCCAGCGCAGGCCCGCCGACGGCCTCTGGAGGGCGCGCGCTCCCACCGAGTCGGCGGCGGGCCTCCAGGTGCGGGAGCGGCGCAGGGCTGGCGGGGACGGGCCGCGGGTGCGCGGGCCTCTGTCAGCGCCCATCGTGCCGGCCGCGCGCAGGCCCTGGGGGCCCGTCCCCCTGCTCACTGGAGCAGGCCGGGGGCGCCCTGGCCGGTGGCAGCTCAGCCCCGAGATGCATGCGGGTTTTGCAAACTCCAGGTGCGTGGAAGGTGCTGTTTCAACCACCTGAACAGACGTGTCTCCCGGAGCCCCGCGGGCCGAAAGGCGCCCAGGAAAGGGTCCCCCTCGCTCCCGCCCCCGCTTTATCGGGAGACAGACAAATGGCAAGCCTTTTGGGGCCGGCGCCCGCGTTCTGTTCCGATGACTTTGGTTTCAACCTGGACACGCCTGTAAATACAAAGTGAGGCACAGCCTGGCCTCTGGGAGTTTATTCCTCAGGGTCCTTGGCTATGCGGGGTTTCGCCCTGTGGTGTGATAAAGCTAGGGTGTGCTTTGTTTTGTTTTCTCGTAAAAAACAAAAGCAACAACAACAACAAACTGTAAAAGCAAAGTAAATCATACTCCCCCGGAAGCCCGCCGGTGGGGAATGCTTCTTGCTTAACAGCCTGCGTTTCCAGCAAGGCGTGGAAAGGACTCAGGGTGGCCTCGGGAGAAGCAGGGGAAGGTACCTTCGCCAGAGTGCTGTTTGGTTGGCTTGATTTTGCAGTTTGATGGGAAAAATCCTAGCGCTATTACAGAATAATAAAGCGGTGAAGGCAGTTGGGGAAGGAAGGCCGCCCGTCCAGGTGGGAGCCCAGAGCCGGCAGCTTTATTTCACTTGGTACCAAAGTAGTAGTAAAACGCTCAACTCGGGGAAGGAGCCCACAGCACCCGGAAACACAGAGCCAGCATCTGCAGTGGGACCATCGGGGCTAGGGACCCGGCACCTTCAGTTGATTTTCAGTTTATCAAGAGAGAGCGCCTTCAGACACTGCTGCCGCGTGTCAGTCTTTCCTCTGTCTCCTGTTGAAAGCTGCCCCAAAGCGCAGAGCCCGGCGTGGAACCCGTGAGGCCCTTTGCCAGGGAATCTACCAGGCGCCTGAGCACCGGGCGAAGGAGAAGCCTGGAGCCCGCAGGTTTTATCTGAAATCCGCCTCCCTTGCCCAGCCGGCCGACACCTTCCAGACGCGTGCAGACCCGCGTTCAGCCCTTCACAAGGGAGGCCCTCCGCCTCGGAAGTGGGCGAAGGGGGATCTGATTTTTTGAGGTGCTGAAGTAATAAATAAATTACCCGGCAAATAAACGGAGGGCCGGGACTCCCGGAGGGCAGCCGGAGGCCCTCGCCGTCGCTGCAGGTCGGCCTCTCGAAAAGCACCGCCTCTGGAGGGGTCTGCCCCGTCGCAGTCGCTCACCCTGTTCCCCGTGGAGCGGCCCCCAACGCACCGAAAAGGAGCCCAACAGAAAAGGCTGGAACAAGGGACGTCGGCTTGGCGCCTGGCGAGGGGTCTTGGCCCGAGGCGGGAGGCCGGGCTTCGCTGGGCACTGGGGTCCGAGAGGCTGGCCGGCTCCTAGGCCGGGTGCGCGGCGCCCAGGGTGCGCTTCGCGCGGGCTTGGTTCTTGTCGCCGGGCAGAGGGACCCCGGCCTTGTCGGGGTCGCTGGGCCTCTGCGGAGCACGAGAGCCAGTTCGTCGGAGGGCGCCTGTAGCTGGGGGAAGGCGGGGACCCCGCGAAGCCAGAGCTGGTGGGCAGTAGGCGTCTACTCGGAGACGCGAGGGGAAACGGAGCCGGTACTGCGCCCCCTTCCCCAGACCGCACAGAACCGCTCTGCAGACGGGGGTTCGAGGACCACCCTCTCCGCCTGCGCGAGGCGCCGCTGCACCTTGGTGGCCTTGGCGCCAGGCCGGACTTCTCCCGACGAGGGCGAGGATTCGCTTTGGACGTTCGCGTCTGGAGCCTTTGGAGGTTCTTGACGGCCCGGGACCTGGGCGCTGCCGGCTGGTTAGTAATCGCCGTTTTGTTAACTCGGGGCACACACGGGGGCCTCGCCCTTCGAGTGCGGCCGTTGGCTCGGAACCCACCCCACCTGGGCCCCGATAATGAGGGAATCTGATTACTCGCCTCTTCACTCATTAATGAGAAAGAGTCACTGGGTCTTGCTACTTCCAAGGTCCTTGGGGGAGACGGTTGACGGCGTTAACCAATTCGATCTTACATTTCAAACTCACTTTTTGCAGAGGAACGTCGCTTTCCTCCCCCTCTGTGGACACGTGGGGCCATTAAACAAAATGTGATAATAAAATAAATTTTTATAAGATACAACTCTGTAAAAAATCTGTACAGGTTGATAGTGGGGCTCCACAAAGTGTGACTCCGCGCGTCTGGGTCCTAGAGTCCACGGCTTCGGCGCTCCTCGCCCCGATTGGTGGCGGCTTCCCAAATCTGCCCGCGGATTGGCCCGAAGTTCCACGAAGGGGCGTGGCCTGAGGAAAGTAAAAACTCGCTTTCAGCAAGAAGACCTTTGAAACTTTTCCCAACCCCGAAAAGGGACTGGGCCTCCCGTTCCCGGCCCGGCCGGCACCCGCTCCGGACCCCGGCGCGCCGACCTCTGCGGCTCGGGGACCGCCTCTCGTGTCCTGTCGCGCGCCGGCCCAGGGACGAGCCT